TTATGTGGGACAACTTTTCTGAGACACAATGCACCTAGAAGTTAGTCTATAGATCTACTAGTACATCTAACTGTGTGATGTATGGTTTCTAAAAAATCCTGCTGCATGCTGATACAAACATTATGTGGGACAACTTTTCTGAGACACAATGCACCTAGAAGTTAGTCTATAGATCTTTAGCATATATAATAAAATACAACTGCCAGATGAATACATAATCTTCAAGTACTAGTAGACGTGACTTAAGTATGATCTAGGCCTAATCAATGTATGAACTGCATTGTTTACTATAATACTAATTAACATATTGTGTAAAGATCAGTCATATATTAATATTCAAAAATCTGAGGTGTCCATAGCCTAGAAGTTTAGGTGACACTGTCACACTTGTCACACTGTAGAAGCGGTTAGGGGTATTGGGTTTGCATTAGATTGCGGTTATAGAACTCTCATCATTCAGATGCATTTAAAATTGGTCTAGTCTAATCTGCAAGATTTCAGTAGGTCTATAGAACATCACTGAAGTAATAATAAATTCATATAGACATTGATCTCACTAGGCCTGCTACTTTTTGACTTGTGTTTATGTGCACAATTCACCAACTCCACTCTACATGCTAGTATCTAAAATGTTATGTTCTAGTTTTGAAGCTTTCTTGTGTGTATGGCTGAATAGGAAGACTATTTCCACAAGTAAAAATACGGTATTAGGTCCTAAGTAAAATAACTGGTGAGATTCGCAGTCATTGCTATCACGATTATTATATGTATAGCAACAGGTCAGCTGTGCATCACAAGTTGCGATGCAAACGTGGCCAAATCAAGCCCTGTTTCTACGTATCATAGGAAATATGTTGTTTTTTTGTCCGTTCAACAGGTTTAAGAGTTCTGTATTTTAATCAGGTATTGTCATTGTTACAAGAAGTTTGGTTTACTATTAAATGGTCTCGGCTTATTATTGAAAACATGTTTAAAGTTTTGCTCATATTTTGTGGTCATTGAAAGTAATGATCTGGGACATGATTTAAAAATAAAACAGCATTCTGTGAAATATATAATTTGTAGACTTAAATAATTCTAAAACGTTTTCCTGGTGGCTCTTATTTTAAATGTGTTCAGGAGCTTACATGTTGGTTTGATGTTTTTCTTGACATATCTTATTGTGAGACAGGTTAGTCGTACGCGTATTTTGTTTCTTCTCTTACAGCTGAAAGTAAGGTCATAATTTCATAACCCTTTTTAAACAAACTGTACAGGTCACTTTGTGGACGCCGAGTGAGAGTTGAGATGTCTAGTGGTAAATCTAGACACAGTCAATATAGAGGACCTCTTTCAAGATCTTTCAACCCAGAAGATCGTTGCTATGATTGTGGAGAGCGTGGCCATTATGCTAGAGACTGCCGTAAAGTAAGCAGACGATATAGGTCCAGGTAAGGAGTAAAAGCAAGGATTTGACAGTAGTATGTTAATACAAAAAGTGTGTTATTTAGTATTAGCGGTGTTTTTTATTTTAATTCGTAATGTACATATACTGTACATAGTTCACTTTTATGGTTTTCTACATACTACTGTATATGCATGCTAAAAATAAGAAATATGTATTATGTGAATTTTATTTGCTCACAGTTCAGTCCTTTTGAAAAAGAAGAATGTTAAACTTTATTATTTATCCAAGCTTACGTACTGTCAAGCTTGAGTAACATTTATTTTTCTAACCATATTTTTGTAGGCTAAGGCATCATCAGTCTGGTTAAAATCAACTCTTTGCAACGAGCAGCTATAGTTGATGCATCACTGGCACCTGTCAAGTGATCTGCAACAACATGTCAACATTCTGCTAGTTTGTCTGCATTATCAGCTCAACACATGTCACACAATTTTGTGTTGGCAGCTAGAATATACCAGTGAGATATGATCAGAATATACCAGTGAGATATTGATCAGAATATACCAGTGAGATATTGATCATCTGATTCGCCTGAGCAGCACTGCTTGCTTCAGTTTTCTGCGGGTTGTGGTCAACCTTTTTCCTCATCAGTGTTTATTACATCTGTATCACTGTCTGTGGTCTACTTTGATCAACAGACTTCCAAGGTTAACTCAGCTGTCCTGACATTTCCTCCAAACATCACCTATATGGCATTATTAGGTTATTACTTTTTTTTTGTTGGTTTGATCAACTATACCAAAAAGGTAATTTTGCTCAAAAACAGTAATGTATTAAATCATTCTTGAATTGGAAATGTTATTACTTTTTTAAAAATACAAGCCTAATTTAAAAAAAAAGTACATTAGAAAAATATAATTCACCCTGGTTTTTCGTGAATTTTGTGGGCTTATTGATTTTGAGGAAATGTTGGGATGTTACAACTCAAGGTAAGTTGCAGAATGCTTACAGAAATTAAAAGTGACAAGTTGTAGCACAGTAAAAACACATTCAAATCTAAAAATAATTCCCCTTTCGATAGGCATTTTTTAGATTTTCTTGTATGAAGAATAAAATTTCAGTGAAACTAAAGTAATTGAATGTGATAATAATGTATGTGAAGAAATTCCAAATTGTGGACACAGGTCATCTCGTATAATAGTTTAATCATGGACACATAATTGGATAAAATCAATATCCAATCTAATACTTAACAAATGATATGCATACTTGTTTTACACTCGTAGAATCATTTGTTAAAATCTGTTCCTCGGGAAGAAATGAAAAAAAAACCATACTGTTGAACATCTATTTACAGAATGGAATATACCCTAACTTCCATACTATTTCATTTGAGAATTTGAATTAATATACTTTGTAATTTTACAAGAAGAAACAATTACATTAAAGGAACTTCATTTTATCTTAACAACTGTACCAGATGCTGCACTAAAACAAAGCAAATATAAGTGCAACTTACAGTGATACTTGTTATGAAAGACTTTTCTTGCTATGGAATATTGAGTCTTGGTGCTGCCTTAAGAAATGAAATGCTGAAATCATAATTAAGAATGGAAAAAATATAACTTTTAACAAAGTATTCTTCAGTTTCTTTAATAATTTCCTGTTTATGCATGAGACATTATTTATTAAGTAGTTGGTTTTATTTCTTTTGTAAATGAATAATAATAATAATACAATTATAAATGCATTGTGTTCCTTAAGACAGAGTATATGGAGGGTTAGCATCCTAAATTGCAAGACTTACAGTAGCATTTCTTTTAGTCAGCTAGTATAAAATACAACTTATAAACAATTAACATCTCAGCACTGTATCTGGTATTTTTACTTATATGTGAGTGTATGCTTATGCGTTAAACAATAAGATGTTGTCTGGAGAGTTTTGTGTGACTTTGACATGTATCTTCGTGCTTAAAACAGTCTGTTTATTCAAGTACCACCGTATTCCATTTAATTTTTTGTTAAGTGATTGTACTTTAAAGGAATAGGACTTGAATAAGCCAGAAAAAAAGAAAAAAAAGTATTAAGATACACCGTGTTACCGAAAGTAGTGAGACATTGACTCCTCCTGCTGTTCTTATTCATTTTGAACTTGCATGTGAATCTCCTGGTGCACTGCAACAACCAGCTAACTGGAAATAATATGGCTTAAGGACAGCAACTCTCAGACCATCAAAGAGTAGTGGCTATTGGATGTAGCATTAATGATATGAGGGTCAAATATATTTCAGCCCATTTATGTATACCCAAATTTAACGTGAATAATATTCTGAAGAAATAGAAAACCACTTGATGTATTAATGTAGAGAATGAGCTTACTTACTCCAAATCAATCATACCTTGATTCTAAGCAGACATTGAAACATGGCATTAAAGCTGCCACATAGGACTTGTTTGAAAATTTAGCACTGAAGCCAGTGTTTCTATTATGTACATGGAGCCAAATAGTGCTGAATTTCACAAGGAAGCTACAGTCCATAGGTGGGTGGTCACAGCTGTAAATAAAGTACGATGTCATCATGTTTTTATATTGAAATTGAGGTAAAGAGCAGAAAACCATAACATAGGAGGTGAACTCTGCTGCTTTTTATTTATTTTGGATAGATAAGTCTCAGTTTAAAAGATGTCCAAAGCAATTTCCAGGTAAGTCTTAGTTCTCCCATCTCTGAAGAGTGATGAATATAGTGTGAGCCTGTTAAACAATGTGTCAGCTTGAACTTGTTCTATTGGTAATCATTGACATACTCAAGACTGGATGGGCGAGATCGAGTATGTCGAGACCAAGATGGAGAACAATATGTTTTTATGTGACCAAAAATTTAAAAAGTAAACTTATTGTTGTAACTCTTGTTCTTATTAGAAAATGTTATTGAGATTGAGGTTAGTCACATAAAAAATAAATTGATCTCGGTCTTGGTCTCGTCCACCCATTCTTTATTACATCTCTACTGATAATAGTTAAGGAAGTCATGGATACCTTATCATAGTATGAGATCCTGCATAATGCTGTACTGTCTGCAGGGTGGAAATTTATGGGAAAGGAATATATATGATAATACTTTGAAGTCTTATCTTTTAAATTGATGAGAGCCTTTTATCATAGACACAAAACAAACAATATAATGGAGTACTCCATTATGCCGGTTGTTTTTTTGTCTATCGTGAACAGCTGTTGTCAGTCTAAGTCTTAATGGTCCAAATAAACTTTTGAGGTGCTTTCTGAATTTTGATTTCGTTGAAGTATGTGTAGCTGAGGCATTTTTTGTATTTTTATCTGATTACCATTCCATACCTCACAAGATGTTCAGCATTGTTCAAGAAAAATAACCTAAGACTAGATTAAGGTCAGAGGCCCATTTGAAATGATGCCTGAGGAAAATAATAGACCAGAGAATCTTGCTACACAATAACCTGCTTTCCAAGAGGAGTGATGGTCTAGTCTTTTGGTGTGCAAACTGTGGGGGCAGAAAGTTAGTAGGGGGGGTGCACAGTTATGGCTATAGAAGTATATAAATTATATCTGAAATTACAAACTTGAAGGCAACACACTCAAGAAATTGCATGTCTCTCACGAAACAATACGTAAACATCTAAAGAATATGGGAAAACTCCATAAAGAAGGTGTTTGGGTGCATCACAAACTTTTCGACGATCATCGTTTCCAACGTGTGAATGTTGCTTTGTCTCCTCTGAAGTTTGTAAATAAACAAATTTTAAAAACTGCTTTACAAATATTACTAATGTTAACTAATATAGTATTAATAAACATATATTCAGTATATACACAAATAGGTTAGGGTGGGGAGCTGTGCTAGCATGCAGGCTGCAAAAAGAACAAGTAGAGGTTAATTCCATGTTGAAAACTAAATATAAAAAGAGGCTACATAATTAAAACATTGTGTATTTCTCTCTCTTTCTTTTCAGCATAGAATTGTTGTATATACAAACAGATTTGTACCAATGAGCAAAAGTCTTCTCACTTTATTCATAAGGAATCTAATACATTTGTTTCAGGATAGTAGTTTTTGGCTTACCTAATTAAACCTAACCTGTTTAGTTAATATTGCCCCTCACTTACCTAATTAAACCTAACCTGTTTAGTTAATATTGCCCCCACCTACCTAATTAAACCTAACATGTGTAGTTAATATTGCCCCCCACTACCTAATTAAACCTAACCTATTTAGTTAATATTGCCCCCCGTGTCTAATTAAACCTACATTGTATGTGTTGTTTTGTGTGTTATTTTTGCCACTGTCTTAAGAGGAGATTCAGTTAATTCAGCATGAAATAGCTTTTTACAATGTTTACACATCACAAGTGCAACATTTAAAAATTTGATTTTATGAGAAGCATTCAAAAATCCAGGCAGCAATAGCCCTTTTTTTAATCGGGGCGCATTAGATATGGTAAACTGGCAGCAATAATTATCATAATGTTTATAAGTTGATATGGGAATGTAGCCTTCAATCATGGCTACATTCCATGCAAAAATCAATTTAAGTGTTGATTGAATGGCTGAGATATTGTGAGATTTTAGTTACACATTAGTTTTGGACATTAGTGTCAATATAGTAGTTTGTGTAAAACATGGTTGAAAAATTGATATTGTGTTTCTTGATGATGGCCCAGAAGTAAACAAACAGAAGAAATCATTAAATGAAGAACAACTTGAGAGTTCTGTAACTTTATAAAGCACTTACTTGGTTTCCGTTTCTACTGCTTCTGTTGGTAAACTAAACACTAAACCAAAAACTAAAAGTGCATGAGTACCAGGAGGATTATTTAAAAGTTGGTTTCCCTCACAGAGTTGTAAATAACAAGAAACAACTGCAATACATTATTTGTTCACACTCTGGCTAATGACAACATGAATCTGAATAAACTTACAAATGCCCTGATGTGGATAAAACCAATTAACAAGTGAAACAATTGACTGAACAAAGCAGCTTGCTTGAAAAGCAGGCCACTGTTCCATCAAAA